CTTTGGCTCATATCGTCAGCAGAAGTGATACTAGTAGTATTTTGTTTTGCTAATAACAAATTAATATTTTGGATGTACTGTGTTTTGTATGACATTTTCCAGTATAATCTATTTAATGATTGTTTATTACTCTGATTTTGGCGTATTGGAATTTTCATTTCAAGACAAAGAGGCATATGATCAGAATAAGATTCCGAAGGAATGTGAAAATTTTCAAAGTACTGCAAAAACGAGGTGGAACAAATACAATAATCTATAACAGAACTGCCCATGATGCCGCAGAAAGTGCTATCTCCTTCGTAGTCACCACGTACTCTTCCATTTAATACTATCCCTCCTATATTTTCCAATATGTTTAAAACTTGTTTGCCACGGGCATTAATAATTATGTCCTTAGACTGCCTGTTTGTATATAATTTTGTACCACGAACTATATTTTGATCTAATGACTGTTCTTTCCATTCATATCACCCATTATACAAAAGTTTTCTGGACAAACATCAGTCAAAAATGAACTGAATTTTTCAGCATCGCGCTTCCAGCAAGTGCAGTTCAAATAGACAGGAATTAGATAAAAATTACTGCCGTAAAAATCTGCAGATAAATATGGATATTCATTTGTGGGAATAAAATTAAGTCTGTATTTACGTTTTATTTCTTTTTTGAAGCCTTATAAACACCCTCTACTTGCTCTACCAAACCTACAGTTTTTAACTGCAGCTACCCAATGAATATAAAAGTTTTTGAAGTAGGATGTGAAGTTTGTTTGTTTATTTTCTAAGACATGGGTCTCGAAAAGGAAAAAGATGTCGAAATTGTTTAAGAATGTTAAAAAGTTACCGTAACTGAGACATCTTTCTAAATTTGAGACATTGTAAGATATTATATGGCACGAATCAAATTGCTATTGAGAAGACGAATTTTCATTTATATTATTTATATTGGAGGTTTGCTTGCAGAAAACATCGTATGAGTTATTAGATAACTCAAGTATGTTGACAAGAAAATCAGCATCTTTCTGTGTCGGGGCAAGAATTTTTTCATCCATCCAAGTGTATTTAATATCGTTTACAAAGATACAAAATTCTCCTAATCGGACCTTGATATTTGGCCTAATTTTTGACACGACTCTGGCAACCTTGCGAAGATTGTATCTGGTCGTCTGTTCCAATGCAGTATAATCTTTTTGTATGTAAATATTTTTTCCTTTCAGTTGTCTCCTTGCTTCGATAACGCGTTGTGCTTCACCCTGGGTTTCGAGGGTAAACACAAACGATTTGCCAGAGGACAGCATCTTTGTGCCCATGATATTTATATCTACGTTCAACTCATCCTTACTCATGCTAATAAGCATTTTTTTTGGCAGTCGAAGTGTTATTGCAGACAAGACCACTCACCACCACATTAGACGATCTACTTCGCCTGTCTATTACTTCTAAGCGATTCGTTAGTTTTTGAATTTCGTCTTTGAGCTTTGAGTTCTCAGTTTTTAAAACATCAACTTCTTGTTTGATGGCAGCAACATCCTCCTTCTTAGCTACATCTCTTAATTTGTCATCCAACAAATCACCTAGTTTGCTCCACGAGAATAAGTCTTGGTTTCCTCCTGTGATATTTGGACCAGTAAAAATTTTTTTCGGTGTACAATTTATGTTGTCAGGTGATGTTGATAATAGTGTGCGCTTGATACTCATTAGATGTGGCAACACAGTAAATGCATTGATTGACTTATCGATAACTAATATCGATATGAACCACAGGACAGGTTTGAAAGAGCAGCACAGCTGATGTTTGTTTTGGCCTTTCTCTGTATTAGTTGCAAAAAAAAAAAAAAAAAACGTTTTCCAGTGGAATCAAAGGTTTTCGGCCGAAGTTGTAATAAAATATAATTAATTTTCTTTGTTCTGGAGACCACAATCTTTTCTTCGACAATGACACGAACTTGGCAGCCAAAGTGAATATTGTAACGCGTAGTTTGGAAAGTAGATATTGTTTATTTCGTAAGTTTTTTGGATAACTTTGGAGCACTGATAAAAATGCGACTGTATGTAAAGAATGCAAATCATCGATTTTCAATATAATATAATATAATATAATATAATATAATAAAATATGATATAATATAATATAATATAATATAATATAATATAATATAATATAATATAATATAATATAATATAATATAATATAATATAATATAATATAATATAATATAATATAATATAATATAATATAATATAATATAATATAACTAGCTGACCCTGTCCGCGTTGCCGGCCCGTAGTTTTAGTCTATTATGCATATTTGTCAAAGCATAATTATTCAAAGATATGACTGTTATAAGTGTTCATGTACTGGTCGATTAATTTTTAGTTTTTAGTCAAATGAGCAGTAATTTGGAATTTACTGTATTTTGTACACCTCATAATTGAGGGCTGACTGATTTAAGAATAGCCAAAGTTAATTACTTTTTTAAACCCATTAACACCTCAGATTGTGCATTAGAGTTCTCATAAGTCCGCCAAAAGGTGGACTTGTGGGGGTACTATTACATGGAGAAAATTCTAAAATTTGTAGATATGTTGAAATTTGTGTGTACGATTATCACCCCCCAAATACACATTTTTAGCCAAATCCTTTGAAATAAGGTAAAATCAGGAAGTACCTTCATATGGGCACTACTGCGAAACATCGACCTACATTGAAAACTTTTTACCCCCTTATAATCCAAGATGACAAATAGAGGCCAAATCGAAAATATAGCAGAACAACATAGCATGTCAAACTGAAAAAAATTCACGTGATTTAAATAAGTAAAAATAATTTTATCCATCTTATTTGTCATTTAAATTGTAAATTGGAGACGCCATAAAGTCCATATTTTTCATCATAGTATAATTCAATGACGATTCAACAAATATTCGGTCCCGTGCTACTTTCTTATATTTATAATTTGTTCTTGTTTTTCACAATTTATTTGATTTGGGATGTACATCTATATCTACGTTCCCAACCAATATTCTCTTGGGGGTTACAAATTCAATAGAATACAAAATTTTCTTTTCTGACCACACATTAGATGTGAAAGTGGACTTGGGATACTCCAATGTGGGGACTTTACATGAATAAATTTTTATGTGGCAATTATCTGTACGATGGTTCCTTACGCCAGGGTAGCATAAATACAATTTTTTAGTGGTCAAGACCAATATGGGCCCTACTCCGAGAATTTTCTACTCCCTTAGAAACAAAGATGCCAAATAAGGTCCAAAAATAGAAGAAAATGACGAAGACTCCAAAAATAGCTTAAATCATACAATGGTTATTTATGATCGATATCATATATCATATTGCAGGTCATGCAAAAGCGATTTAAGGTATCTTAAATGTTCGGGAAGAATTTTTGGAAGGATAGAAATCCTTTTCTTACTAAAAGTCCCATTCGCTCTACTATTTTGCACCCTTTATATTTGGTACTTTACTGATTGTAGTCCCAAAAATTTTTGCATTTTGAGCTCTCATTGGACGGATTATTGTCACATGAAAGAAGTAGGTCCACGCTTTGAAATGAGCCCCATTAGTCTTTTTCGGTCATTTTTGTTTGTTTAAATGTCTGCGCATCTTCCAGCTGAAGCACGATGTAGGCCCTGGAGTTGAAAGGTAGATGTTAGTTACAATCGTATTTCGCACTTATTTCATTTTTTGGTGAAAAATTGTATATAGTGAAAAATTATTCTTTATTTCGTTCACAAAAAATCCACTGAATTCAATATGATAATACAAATTGAAAAAAAAAAAAAAAATGACAAAAGAATAATAAAAATTGAAAAAATCTTCAACTTGTTCGCTGATTTTTTACAGCAACTGTTTAAAGATCCTTACAAAGTTTGTCAATAGAATGTACTTTTATTTTAAAATTCAATTCTATTGGACATTTTTTTCGATATTTTCCCGTTTTGAGAATTTTTGTAATGAGATCTCTTTTTTCGTAATTTTTTTTAGCGATTTTGAAAAGGTTATTATCTTCTAACTTTGGTGTGACCGCGTTAAATTATTTCGATATCATCTATTCCGTTTCGCCACCACATAATTCGGTACTACACTTCCATGTAACCCGTCATCAATTTCAGTTCTCAAGAAATCAAGTCAATTAAATAAATTGATATTAATATTCGAATTCAAAAATAAAATATAAAAAACACTACAAATGTACATTAGAAAAAAGTAAGTCAAAATGGAAAAAAAATCATGCAAAATAAAACATTACTATTGTACATTTCAAAAGTCAAAATGAAAATGTTAATATATCACACTTTTACGTGATTTTTTTTTTGTATGTTATCCTTTTCGGATAGGAGACAATTCCGAATTTGTATGAATCATTAAAATCAGTTGAGCGGTTCTTAAGTTATAAGCGTAGTAACTAACACAACTTTCATTTATATATATAGATGTATAGATAGATTAAAAAGTATGCGTGGTCAGTTCCTCAGCCCCCAAACAAATACTTAAGTTTGGAGGGAAGGTCAACAGTATCTCGTGCAAGAATGACTTCATTATCAAATATTTGTGTGCCACAAGACGGTAAATACATCTATGTCACTATCTATGGCGAATGATGCGCCCAAGGTTCATCTAATTTCCTATTTATGAGAGCTTTAAACTTTAGGACACATTTATATTAGAAACAAAAATTAATTTATTGTTGGAATTTTCAACAATTTTGGTTAATTTTCGCGGTTGCTGTATAGTTTGTCAAGTTCGTACTATATGTAGGCAAAATGTACTTACTGTTAATAATAAATATAGGACCGCTGGATTTGGTAGAACAGATAAAGTTAAAATTTGGAATTTGGAAACGAAGTAGCGGTCAATTTATAGCCAATATATAATTAAAGTAGATTCAATGTGAAGTTATCGATTATTCTGTGGAATAATTTTATTTTATGGATTTTTTATTATGTTTGCTTAATTATGTAACATTTTATATTTATTTTTAGGTGTAAAATTTGTGATTGGTGGTGATCGAGAAAATAAAACTCCTACAAACGAAACTATTGAGAATGTCGCAAATTGGGAGAATATTTGGTCCTGTCAAACAGCCATACCAATTTATCATATGGCGTTCAGTCCAGATGGAACATTGTTTGCTACTTGTGGACGTAACGACCGTCTAGTAAAAATTTGGTACGAAAATAAACAAAGTAAGTAAATCTTGTTTTTATGCAAGTTTAATTCGCTTATATCACCGACATAAAAAACGTGTATGTTCATTCCATGGACAATTTTAGCCTCCATATATAAATTAGCTATTTATAATATTTTGTACTTTAACTCAAACTTGGATTATGAAATAACTTCGCATAAAAGATTACATTTTTTTTTTTTGAAGTTTAATTGCAAAATGTTTAAAAATTTAAATTGTAATGTTATAAACACACCCCAGTTAACGATGTTAAAGTTTTGGAAAAAAACAAAAAAATATGTATTGAAATAAAAGAAGAACAAAATAAACTGAGAAACATTTATATTATTGAAGAACGGATGCAAACTGAAAATAACATAAAATTTCGATGTACTATCTTTTTTTCGACACTTACATTCAAACTGTATGTACTGAAACTGAAAATTACATGTTTGTTTTTTATATACTGTTAATTTAACACGTATCCAATCGGAGTCAAAATCTCTCTTTTTACTTCATTTTTTGGGGAAAGTATCAAAGTGTGTCCCTGAACAAAAGAATTTTTAATTGCAACTAAAAACTACTTTCTTTATTCTACTTTTGTTAATTTTGGATTTTTAACTGAGTCTGCATTTTTCTTGTTGAATACAAAAGCAGGCTGCGGATACTGTTTTTCCAGGAATTTTATGCCTCAACATCTTCCTTTTTCTTTATATGACCTTTGGTAGTATGTGATAATTATGCACTAGTTTTCAATTTACGTATGGGAATATTCAAATAATATTTACATTTCCAATTGAAATATTTTAGTCAAGATCGTATAACACCACAATTAAAAATAATTTACTCCAAAGTCGTTCTATGTAACTGTTACAAACAGGTGAAAATAAGTCAACAATTTTTTTATATTATTCACCGATTCCTTTGTATTATACCATTATTTGTTTAGAGCAAGCAATACGCACTTTGGGCGGCATAGGTCTATTGTATAATTTTTGAGGCATCCATTGTATTTACTTAAAATTATGCTAACATTTTGAAGACGGAATAAATGTTGAACTCTTGATTTTACGTCGAATGATAGATTCACAGTAATGGAAGTATAATGGGGGACTTTTTTTAATCCTGTTATTCGAGGGATCTTAGTTTTATTCCAGGCTAAATCTAATGAACTTAGCTTCGTATAAATTTAAGTAAAAAATGTTTTGTAAATTCCGCATTTCATGCGAACTCCCCGTGTCATCGCCCTATACCACAACTAGAAGTAGGAACAAGGTGCTCAAGTATCTGGCCGGCAGCAATTGAGAAGCTGATAAAGAAACCTGGTTGACTTCTTATAACTATCGCGGCCTGTTGTAAACTATGTGGACCCAGTGTGGTCCGCCAAAGTAAGTGCTACACAATGGAAACGCATCCAGTCCTGCCAGAACGACGCTCACTGTGTTCTGTGGTGTTTTAGGTGGATGAATCATTGGACCTTTTTATTGTGTTCGGTATCGTGAAATGATAACCAGTTTTTTCTTGCCTAGAATTGAAGAAGTGAATGTGGAGGGCATGTGGTTTTAACAAGACGCCACATACATACAGACAGATAAACAATTCAATTATTGCATCAGCCATTTCCAGAACGTGTTATTTCGCACTTTAGAGACAAGAATTGGCGCCTCCAACGAGCTGTTTGACACCTTTAGATTTTTTTTGTTTTGGGTTTTTATTTGCGAATAAACCGACTACAACCCAGTCCTGGACGCTGCATTAATGAAATGCCGCAGCATTAATGCAAAACGGACATTTAAAATTTCATTAAAAGATCGCGTGTGTGTCAGCAAAGCCACGGCGGCCATCTGTTATCTTGTTCCATACATAACCATAATTCTGTCTACTTTACGACATAATAATGTTTTAATATTTGTGGTTTGTTGTTGCAAAATAGCTTTGTTTTATTTATAATCTAGAAATTGCACACCTTTTTTATTTTTATGTGAATTACCGATAATTTTTACACTTAGGGGACGCACGGTTGGTGATACCGATATTCCTGTTCATGGATGTGTTACCAATTGTGTTATGACTTTTGTGGAAAACCTCCTCTTACGGCGTAGGTTTTAGTTAAAGGAACTATTGTTGATATAAACTTTTTCCTTTATTATTTTCTTAATTAACTTGTAAATCATTCAATATTTTTTGTGCTAATTTTATGCGATTTCATTTTTTAAATTGTTATATATTGCATCGGCTCGTTTGGAGTTCGGGCTTGACTCCAACAATTAACAATTAGAGTATAATTCATTTCCACTGTCAATGCTGACTAAATTTCAACCATTGGTTACATTCGAAATGGAATACCAAATAATTGTTCTACAAAGGGGCGCATAGCAGATAGTCATATAATACAAAATAAGAATGCATGCAATGAATTCGCTGTACGACTTATCCACTTTTTGTGAATATTTTTTGTTCACTATTCATTTTAATCTGACATTCAAATTTTCGATATCTATTATCTTACATAAGCCGTGATAATCTCCTTTTTAATAAAAACCAAATTTCCTACTTTAAACCAGCGTTCGAAAATAAACAGTACGGTACTGTACCGTTCCGAGGTGGAGTGGTACACTAAAATAATGCACCGTACCGGAACACAACCCTTAAAAAATATTTTAGTGATACTGTACCAGAGCACAGTGAGAATCGTTCTGTACCGCAGTAGGTGCACTATAAAAGGTAGTGTACCGCAGACGGAGCACTACAAAATCGTAGCGTATTACATAGCGGAACATTAAAAAATTATTGTACTGGTAGTGTACTACATATGTGTTGTTTACGATTTCTGAGAAAAATTAGATGTTTGATGTTTTTGACAATGCAAAAATTACTCATACATTTCTATGTTATGAAAATAAAAGCTGATTTTTTTATTTGTCATGTATGTTTAGATTGGAATGAATGTAGGTGTAAACAAGTTAAAAAGCAGTAAGTTTGGCCTGCCCGAACTTTGAATACCCTCCATCATTTGGAACGAATTTTAAAAATTTTCAAAAAATAAAATGCTTAAAAAAATCTGTTGAAATTTTAAAAACACCGAATATAGCCGTTATATTGGGGTCTATACGACGTGGACATACATAGTCATTGTTTGTCATAAGCCATTACCATATTCAAATTCGAAACTGGAAATAAACGGTGAATAATGTAGCTAAAATCATCAAAAAATCGTATATAGTGAGGTGCCGTTATATCGGAGCTGTGCGAACACCTGGACCAACATAGACGATTTTCTGTCACAAGCTGCAGTATCCATTACGAACTTCAAATACGACATCTCAAACAGTTTCGGTGGGTATTGTACCCAAACTCGTCAAAATACCGTATGTAGGAAGGTACTGTTTATGGGGCCTATACGAGGGCCTCAACCTGCATAGACAATTTTCTGTCACAGACTGTAGTTTCCATTACGAACTTCAAATACCAAATTTGAAACAATTCCGGTGAATAATGTCGCTAAAATCATCATAATACAGAATATAGGGGGGTACCGTAATATAGGCGCTATACGAAGACGTGGACCAGCGCAGATAATTTTCGGTCTTAGGCTGTAGTATCCATTTCGAACTTTAAATACCAAATTTGAAACAATTCCGGTGAATAATGTCGCTAAAATCATCAAAATACCGAATATCGGGGGTACCTTTATACGGGGCCTATACGAACACGTGAACCTGCGCAGATAATTTTCGGTCTTAGGCTGTAGTATCCATTTCGAACTTTAAATACCAAATTTGAAACAATTCGGGTGAATAATGTCGCTAAAATCATCAAAATACCGAATATCCGGAGGTACCGTTATATGGGGGCTATATGAAAACGTGGACCTTCTTATGGGGCCTATAAGAAGACCTGGAACTGCATAGACAATTTCCTATCACAGACTGAAGTTCCAATAACGAACTCTAAATACGTAATTTGAAACAATTCTGGTGAATAATGACGCTAAAATCATCAAAATACCAAATTTGAAACAATTCCGGTGAATAATGTCGCTAAAATCATCAAAATACCGAATATTTGGAGGTACCGTAATATGGGGGCTATACCAAGACGTGGACCTGCACAAAAATTTTTCTGTGTAGTATCCATTTCGAACTTTAAATACCAAGTTTGAAACAATTCCGGTGAATAATGTCGCTAAAATCATCAAAATACCGAATATCGGGAGGTACCGTTATATGGGGGATATACGAAGACGTGGACTTGCACAGACAATTTTCTGTCTTAGGATGTAGTATCCATTTCGAACTTTAAATATCAAATTTGAAACAATTCCGGTAAATAATGTCGCTGAAATAAATAAAATAAATAATATCGGGAGGTACCATTATATGGGGGCTATATGAAAACGTGGACCTACATGGCCCATTCACGAACTTAAACTTCCTACTCGAAAAATAAACATGTGTTCAAAATTTTTGCCAACTATCTCAATTCATTCGAAAGTGCGTGAGCTAAATATATCGCAATATTCCATTCGGCAAATATGATAAAATGAGCTCAGGGTAAAGCGATTGAAATTCCAAAACAAGAACTTACACCAAAGAGTTGCATCGATGAGAAAACATTCGTTGTCCAGCAGTTTGTAAACAAACAAAGTGATCGTGTTTACTTGCCAAAGACAGGACTCAGCACGACCGCATTCAGCACATGTGAAAATTAAAGGACACCACTAAAATGACAAAAAGTAATAGTGAAGTAATCTGTTACATATTTCAATAAAAAGGACACCACAATAAAGAGCAGTGTATTTTAAAGTTGCATATGTACAAAAAAACACCACTAAAATTACAAAAAGTAAAAGTGCAGTGAACCGTCACATAGTACAATAAAAAGAACACCACATTAAATCAAAACTGAGTTCACAAAGGAAAAAGAGAAATACAGTATTTGACAGATGGAGGAAGGAAAACCAGGCTCAAGACATCAACGCAGTCCTAGCGGAGATTGCCAGAAAGGATGAACAAATTG